CCCCAAAACCCCAAAACCCCAAAACCCCAAAACCCCATTAGGAATTATCAATAGATTAAGTAAATAATTTGATAATGAAAGATAGTTGTTATGCATAAATTATTGAGATCACTGTTTATCAACTTCAAGGAGAGAGTGCCACAGGGTAGCAGATAAGTGTGAATTGGATATCTCCTTGATGCAAAAGTTGTTTAATGTCTTAAGGTAACCTCTAGACTTCTCTCTTTTGAATTTCTGAATGCATATCTCTCCATGATAGATCGTTAGCCAGTTGATTAACTTTTTATAGTCAGCAATGTCCTTGTTTGCGACCTCTATAAGTGTCTGTAGATTAGTGATCTCACTCTCTTTACTTGACTTGCTTTTGAATATACTCTTGATTGTAGTCTTGCCTTAGCTCAGTTTCTCCAACTCCTATTGATCAGTTCTCTTTTTACTCTCGCACTGTGATTATTATTTGACTACCAGCTCTCTACCTAGAAGTGCCTCGTTGATTCCCTTTAGATCAAGCAACTCTCCCTTTAGCCAGTAGTATGCGTCCTTGAAAGGATTTTTCCACCCCTTGTATGTATCATCCATCTTTTCCTTCATGTCTCCAACTCCGGGATTTGTGAGTATTCTCTTATTGATGTCAGAATCAGCATAGTACTCGATGTTGTTGTCTTCGTATCTCATTAGATTAGTCATGATTGACTTGTAACTAGCATCTGATGCGTCCTTAGTCTATATCATTCTCTTAAGCTATTTCTTTTGAACTTCCATCACTGGGATGACCTTTCTAAGGAATATCTAGAACTCAATGATATTTTCCTTGTATCTCTGAAGAGATGATGACTCTTGATCCTCGTCAACGTTAAAGTTAAGTCTGTATTTCTCCAGGATTTACATAGGGGTTTGCTTGACGAGATTATTAAGGATTTTTTCTACGTCTCCTTTTTCTCTTGCGAATATTTTAAACTCCTTAGAATGGATCAAATAGTCACACTTGGCAAGCTCTTTCATAAATCTTTCTAATAGGTTTCTTCTCTCTTCTACGAATTTAACTTCATTATTACCAACTAATTTCTTTTCTGGAAGTGCAGGAATATAGATTCCTGGCCATCTTTGCTAGAGAGCATTCTTTAGAGCAAAGAACTGACTGAATCTTCTGACATCCTCGAAGTCTCCTTCTCCATCAACACCAGTGACTGCATACTTGATGTGTCCTCCAATCTTAGTAGGGTTTTGCACTGTGAATTTCTTGACCTTTGGATCAACCTCTTCTTTCATTGGAACCTCCAATGGCACCTCCTGAAGTTTCATTGAATTAAGTTCTTCTAGCAGTTGCTTCTTTACTTTCTCAGCTTCCTCCTTAGCTCTTCTCTCACTTTCACTCACTTTAGAGGTCTCTTCCTTAGGAGCTGATTTAGACTCAACTGGAGTTTCCTTAATAGTCTTAGTCGATGTTTATTGCTACTCTGGGACTGTGCTTTATTTCTGCTTGTCTGAGTTATAAGGATTGTAATCAGATGATCTATTCTCTTCAATAGTAATTGGCTCATCATCAAATAAGTTTCTTCTCTCGGCTACTACTTGACTAGCAGGGGGGTTTGTTTTAGTTTGAACTGGTTCCTGCTTTATCTCTTCGGGCTCATAGCTTGGTTTGTATTCATCATCATCATCAAACATGCTCTTCTTTTTAACTTCCTGTTACTGCACTGGTTATTGTTATTATTTTATCTCGACCTTAGATTCATAGGCAGTCTTATACTACTCCTCTTCTTCATTATTCTGTTAAGAAGGTTTATACGTGTCCTGCTCATCCTCATCATCATCGAAAAGCTTCTTTGATCTACTGTTGGAAGTAGTGGTAGTTGTATTAGATGTGGTGGGATTATATTTCTATGAAGCGCCCAAGTCAACCTCCTCATATTTATTTTACTATTGCTAAACAACTGGCTGCTACACTACTGGCTATTGAGAGGGAACATATTCTAAAAAATAAGTTAAATGCATAATATATATTTTACCATTTTGCTCATCCTCATCATCATCGTCAAACAAATTTCTGCGTCTATTCTCCATTTCAGATATCTTTTAATTATATTAAACTTTGATTATTTTCAGACTCAGCTATTTATCCTCATTCTTCATTTGATGGGGTTTTGGGGTTTTGGGGTAAATTATCTAATCTGGAAACAAAAAGCAAAT